CTGCTGGTCTGGCTGGGCCTCCTGAATATCTTATGACCATTACCTTCACCTCATAGGATTGGCCTATGGCTAGGGCTGTAACAGAGGTATGTGTACCCCTAACACATTAACATCACTAGATTAGGGGCACTAAACCCTAAATGTACACTGCTGATTCTGTTAATGAATATGCTAACCTTTATTATAAACTTCATGCAGGGTATGTACAAACCAGACCCTTGTTGCAGTGACAGAGTCTGCATTGATCTTTTTTTTAAAAAAAAAAATTTATTGGGACCAGCAGCGGGCGTGGTGGTTAACATACTGGATACTCCCACATGGCCAACCATTGTTCAAGTCTCAGACCTGGTGGTTGCTTTCTCTCTCTCTTTGTGTCTCTCTCTGGTCAAATTAAAATGAATGAATGAATAAATAAAATTAAATAATTACAAAAACTTATTTATTTAATTTTATGTATGATTATTATTTATTATTTTAATATGCTGTAGGGCATATGTGTTCACCAGAGATAGAGAAAAAGTGAGAAAGCAACCTGTTTGGTCTGGGACTTGAACTGTGGTCAGCCAAGTGGGAATCCAGTGCCTCAACCACCACGCCACCTGCTGGCCCCTGCATTGATCTTTAATTCATTTATGAGATTTTTTTTTTTAACAGAGATATTTTGCTACAGGGCACATGTGCCTGCCAGAGAGACAGTGACAGAAAGCGAGAAATCAACTCCTGGGGTGATTTGGGGGGATGGTCACACTGCAATTTCTTCTCTTTTATTTTCCTTTGGGACTTGGGGCACCCATGCACACACTCCTGTAGTGAGTTTTAAGCTACTGGGACCTGGACTCGAACCGTGGTCAACTATGTAGGAGAACAGCAATGTAGCCATTATGCCATCTGCTGGTCCCAAATGCTTTGTTTTTTTTTTTCTTTTTTTTTTTTTAGGTTTTTGCCATCGGGGATATATGCTCACCAAAGAGAGACAGACAAAGACAGAGAGAGAAAAAGTGAGAAACCAACCCCCAGGAGGAATGATCAAACCACAATCCCTTCTCTTCCATTCTCCTCCCAGGATTTTGGACATGCATGCACATGTGCCTGGCATTATTTTCAAGCCCCTGGGTCTGGGGCTCAAGCCACGGCTGACCATGTGGGAGCCCAGTGCCTTGACCACCACATCACCTGCTGGCCCCTGTTTTTTCTTATCATATAAAACATGACCCTATCCTCATAGGAACTGTTCTCCACCTGGCAGTCAAACCTATTTTCCCCAGTGTAAGTAAACTCATGTAAACAGCTGGACCTCTGAGTATTGTTTAAATCAGTTAACATATGGGCAAGTCCTCTCAGATGTGGAGATCCCCCAGAACATTTATGTTCATATGTCCTGTACTAATGACAGCTTACTACTAATCCCACTGTTCTGCATCTTGATTTTTCTTTTTTATTTTATGTATGTTCAGGCAGCCATTATTGTCCCCATCTTACAGATGAGGAAAGCAATAATCAGAAAGGAAATTAATTTTCTTAAGCTTACTTGGATAGTATGGTGGTTAGGTCTGGGCTCAAAAACCAAGCTATGTGACTACAAATCTAACATCGTTCCCACACTTCAAGAAATACTCTAGTTATTATGCTATGCAAAACCAAACAAACAGGGACCAGCAGTTAGCGTAATGGCTATGTCGTTGAACTCCCATGTAGCTGAGCACGATTCAAGTCCCGGACCCGGTGGCTTAAACTCACTCCAGGCGTGTGTGCGTGCATGCCCAAGATCCTGAGAGGAGAATAGAGGAGAAGGGATTGTGGTGTGTCCATCCCCCCTGGGGGTGATTTCTCACTTTCTATTTCTCTGTCTCTCTCTTTCAGGCGAGCTCACATACCCTATAGCAAAAACCTCCCCAAACACAAACAAACAAAAAATTACCCCCCAAATTTAAAGGCATAAAAAGTTATTTATTAAGCTCATAGAATCTGTGGGTTAGGCATTTTACAGGACTTACTGGAAAACTTACCTCTATTTCATTGGGTGTGAGCTGGGGTGACTCACAGGCAGGGACTGTGGTCATCTGGAGGGTTAATCACACATGTTGGGAGCCTGTGCTTGGATCCCACACGAACAGGTGGGAGCTGGGACAGGTGAAGCTCCTTGGACGTTTATCTCGATGTTGGTAGTGCCTTTCCACAGGATGTCTCTAGTGCAGTGGGTTTAGGGTGGCTGCGCCTCCTCGCTGTTGATTAGCTGCTAAGGCACATGCCCCAAGAAAGCCAACCAGAACCTTTTGTGACCTTTCACTTCTGCTACTCTCTACTGGTTGAGGCATTTACAAAGGCCTGTCAGTCCTAAGGGGCAAAATGCAAGTTCCACCTTTTGATGGACAACTGTCAATATTGCATTGTAAGAACATATGGGGTGGGATATATTCAACTATAGCAATCTTTGTAAAATAATGTACAAACTGCCAAGAGAGTTTGGGGGAATTTCCCACATTCTTGGGAAAATGGAGACATACCTGGTTAGCGGGAATAAGAAATTCCTTCATTTCAAAGATGAAAGCTTAGGGCCAGCAGGAGATCGGCTGGATCCCACATGTCCCAGTGCGTGGATCAAGTCCTAGAAGCTTGTAAAACATGCCTGGCACATGCACATGCGCACCCAAAATCCTGAGAGGAGAATGGAGGAGAAGGGTTTGCAGCAGCATGGCCACCACCCTACCCCCCAAGGGTGATTTCTCACTTTGTCTCTCTTTCTCTCCTGCAGAGAGCACATGCTCCCTACAGGGAAAAATTAATTAATTAATTAATTAATTACTTAAAAAAAACATAAGAAAAGAAGAAAGCTTGATGTAAATCCTGAACACCCCCCTTTTTTTTCAATGGCGCATAGATTATCATCAAAGACTTTTGAAAATGTTCTTAGCCTATTGAACCAGATGATATAATACTTTCAAGGAACCAGAAACGTTTGAAGTGCCAGCTTCCAAGGATTTGTGGACTCTCCAGCATGCTCTGCAAATAAGATAGACTTAACCAGCTCTTTACACATTTCAGAAGGTGAAAGTGTTTCTTGTCTCACCCCTCCTGGGACAATGTCTTGTAGTCATTGTTTCCTGATGCTGCCAAATGCCTCTAGGGAGGCCAGGGTGGCCGTTGTCAGGGATGTGTGGCCTGTGACTTTGTCAATAGCGTTTGAGGTTATCGCAATACCTTTGGGCTAGGTTATTTTAAGTTACAGTAGACAGTTTGTGAATTTCATCAACTGACTGGATGCGCTTTCTAGCTAAAACCATGATTTCAGCATAAAAGAAAAGAAGAGGTAAGTTAAAAAAGCGAACACCTGTTCTTCTAAAATTGCTCTACTGCAGGTACCAGCCCTAGAGAGTTGGCAGATGGTTCTGTGTTTCTAAGCCTGACCTTCACAGACCTTCATCAATCTTGAGCTGATTGATCCTCAGGAAAGAGGAGACTCTGGCTTCTCAGGGTACCCAAGGCACCTTTGATTTAGTTACTACCTGACGACCAATTAATTAGCCCACACTGATTCGCCCAAGTTTTCCTAACAAAGGAAATACGGGGCGCAGCCTGGCGAGGCAGCTTTCTACTAGCTCATTAATTACTGTCACTCCAGACGTGGATACTTCTAAAAGACGGGGAAAAACATTTTAAAAAGAGAAAGGCGTCAGTTGGCACTTGGGAAATCTGGTCATCTCCAGGGCTTGCAGCTGCCCTGTGTTATGCTTCCTGAAGCCAAGACACTCCCCGTATTTAAAAACTTCCACCTATACACTGAAAATACTAGCTGTTTGGCCCATCGTAACTTGGGGCTGCCAAGGGGAGCCTTTTAATCATAAAAGAATTTGCCTTTTGATTATCTGGTACTTCTTATTTTTAAATGTAGAAGTTTTACTTAAGTTGTTTTTCTTTTTCCCTGAGTGCATGAACGTGTGCAGTTTTAGACAGACTCTCACTATGCCTTGATTATCCTGCCTCAACCTCCCTACTAGCTAGAACTGCAGGCACGTCTATAGGCCTGGCTTTATTTTTCTTTTCTTTTTATTGCCAGAGGGCATGTACGCTCATTAGAGAGAGAGAAAAAGAGAGAGAGAGAAAGTACCTTCCAGTTGAGTGTGGTCACATTGCAATCCTTTTCTTCCATTTCTCTATTACAACAGAATTCTGGACATGCTCACACAAGTGCCTGGTGTGTTTCTCAAGCTTCCAGAAACAGGACTCAAACCAAGGTTGGCCATGTAGGATCTAGTGCCCATAACCACCAAGCCATGGAGCCAGTCCTTTATTTTTCTTTTTAAGTCAAGCGAGGTTGTATTGTTAAGACATAGAAATAATTCACAGTCCACTTTCAGTTATCCTTTGAATGGAGTATGTGGGGATCTCACTCTTCTCCCCCACATAAGGCTCTTCTGCTTCACTTGGCCTGCTTCTTTCCCAGCCATGCAGTCTTCACTGTTGTTGCAGTGATGAGAAGTGATTAAGGACGATCAACACAGAACAGTATACACATTTTTAAAGACTAGCTCCTCTATGACTTCTCCATTAAAAAGATAACCAAAAGTTTATTCCTGCTTTAAGAGCATTCTCCTCATGATATTGCTACATTTGGGTTGTGTATGCATTATTATTTTTTAATTATGGAAAGTTTTTTTTCGGGAGAGAGGTTTGTTTTTTTTTTTTGCTATAGGGTGCATGCGCTCACCAGAAAGAGAGACACAGAGAAAGTGAGAAATCACCCCCCAGGGGGGATGGCCATGTGAAATCCCTTCTCCTCAATTGTCTTCTTGGGATCTTGGGCACACACACACACGCACTAGTGTGAATTTCAGCCGCTGGGTCCAGGACCTGAACCTTGGTCAACTATGTGGGAGTCCAGTGACATAGCCATTACGCCAACTTCTGGTCCCAAATTATGGGAAATTTTAAACATACAGAAAAGCAAAGTAGGTAATATACTTGCCCTGTAGTCATCTACCCATCATGTAGTTTTAGCAGTGATGATGATCAACTTTGTTCCATATATTGCCCCCACACTCAGCATTCTGCACTCGCTCCACACCCGGCAACAAACCTCGTTTCCTCAGATGAACAAGCTCCGAAGGAGGTAACCTGGGTGCGGTGGACTCCTGCAGGCCTGCCTTCCACTCCTCTGTTGAGCACCCAGGCTTGAGAATACCTCAAGTGTCACATTCTATTATACTTGATGGGGAAATGCGAGGCGTCCTGGTGGCAGGCAGGACAAAGGGACAGCTGTACCAGGCTGCTCACAAATTAGGGCATCTCTGGAGGCTGTCCTCCAATTCCCAATTAATTTTTAGGAGAGCTTTAATTATGCCACCAACAGTCCTCACTTAAACAATCACAGGCACTCCGGCTGGGGGGACAAGAGTGACTGACTGGATTTGCATAACCATTTATCCTAATTAGAATGTCAGAAGTTGGTGGCAAAAGGCCTAGTTGTGCTTTGACTTAGGATCACTTTAATTTAGTCCACTTTCCCATTATTACAACTGTCTTCCTTTTCGCACCTCACGCCCTCCTTCCTTATAAATGGTCTGTAGCAAAACCAAAACTGGATGAGTAACTTACTTCTTAGGCTGAACTCCTGCAGATGTCCAGATTTCTTTCCTTAACCCAAACCATGGTTTTTGTTTCTATCTAACTGTATATATACATGGATATTTAGAGTTAGCACCAGTAACTTAGGTAAACAAAACCTTAGTCTTAAACCCAGAAGCCTGCTTCTTATGTGTGTGTACACACGCGTGCATACTTGTGTGCACGTGTGTACGAGGAGTTGAAATAACTTCAGGTTGTCTTAAAACGTAATGTCTTTGTTTAGACACGTTCATGTCAATATTTGAACACAAGGCTTGGTATGTAATAATGATTGTAAGACATACTCATCAATAGATAATATTATTTTTTTTAAAAGTGTAAAGCTTCGGTGGCAAATGATTTGGAATACATGATTTAAAAGTATGAAGGAGGCTGAAATAACACAAGTCTAGGTCTCAGGAGTAGAACCACCCTGACCTATTAGAGACTGTTTAGGCATACATCGGTGATTTCTGGGTAAGGCTGGTGAGCTACTTACCCAGGTCCTAGTTAAATCAGGCATCCTCTGTTTTTCCGCCCTCATTCCCTTTTAGCAGCAGGAGGCCACCTATTTAATTAGTTGGGGGTGGGAGCGTCTGTAATCTCCTGGGGGCTGGCTTCAGCCCCAGAGCTGGATAAGAGGGTGAATCCAACGCCTGGGCCCTGGGCGTGGCTGGCCTCTCCCCTGCAACAGGGGCCCGGGGCGTGGCTGGCCTCTCCCCTGCAACATATGGGGAACCCGCCATGCTTTCAGCCCAAATTTCAGCAGCAAGCATTAGGGGAGAGGCCTTCCCTGCTGGGAGCACACCCTGCAAAGCCAAGGGCAGGCGTCCCTAGTAGAGGTCAATGAAGTTCTTAGACCAAACAGCATCTGGCGATGCCAATTGGAAATCAATGGCCCTCCCTGGGTGGGTTTAATTTTATGGTTATTTGCACAAACTTACAGCCCCTAATGGGTAAGGCAGAACTCAAGAGTATCCGCCCAGGATTGTTCCAATGGAACCTGATGTCTTTGCAGCCCGTTGACAAGTGGAATCGAAGATTCTGTTTACTATACAGATGCTGGTGGTGTAGCCCGACTGTCACACTAAGCCAGACTAATAGTGGGCTTAGCCGCTGTTTGTCCAGGCCTTAGAGACTGACCATCACTGCAATATGTGTAAGCCCCTAAAGCCTTACCACATGTCTCCAACATGAGGGAGATGAGGGATTCCACACGAAGCAATATTGAATCATTATGTTCAATGTGCCTACTCCATGTTAAGCAAGCCATTCTTTTGGGACCTGACCTAAGACTTTACAGTAATTAAGAGATTGTGTTCTGTCGTCAGACAAACCCAGGTTCCACCAGTAGACAAATGCTGGGACAAGTTTCTTAAGCCCCCTGGGTCTCACTTTCCTCATCTGTTAAATGGGGAACATAATAATATTCTCCTCACTGAGCTGCTGAGAGGGTGATACAAGATATGTTAGCAAGGCTTCATATAATGCCTGGTATGTTGTTTATTTATTTATTTAGATTTTTGCTATAGGGCATATGCACTCACCAGAGAGACAGAGACAGAGACAGAGACAGAAAGAGATATCACCCCCCTGCAGTGGGGATGGCCACGCTGCATTTCCTTCTCCATTCTCTCTGGATTTGGGGTGTGCATGCACATGTGCCTGGTATGAGTTTGTTTTTTTTTTCTTTATTAAATTTTTATTTCATTTCATGTATTATCCTCATTATTATTTGTTTCTAATTTGACCAGAGAGAGACAGAGAGACAGAGAGAGACGAGAGTGAGAAAGCAAGCCATGAGGGCCAGGACTTAAACCATGGTTGACCATATGGGAGTCCAACACCTTTAACCACCATGCCACCTGCTGGCCCCCGGTATGAGTTTTAAGTTGCCAGGTTCGGGATGCGAACTGCAGTTAACTATGTGGGAATCCAGTGATATAACCGGTACGCCATCTGCAGGTCCTTATATAGGAATTCTTAAACTTGCTTATTTCTCCCTTATTCTGAAGATTAAGGAAATATTCTGGGATAGTGGGTATGCACATGCACATGTCTGATGTTTCTCAAGCTGCTGGATCCAGGAGTGAGTCATACCATTGGCCATAAGAGATCCAGTTTCCTTACCTACCAGACCTCCATGAGAGAACTATTTTTGGAGGGGCTCATCACACTAAATCCTCTTGCCCCAGCCCCTTGTTACCTAAGATTACAGGCAAGCATCACCAGGTTGAGCCAACTTTAGGTTGGTTCAGGAAGCAAAACAGGCCTCCCACATGGCCCCTGCCTCACAGCGGTACATTGCCCTAGTGCCATCAGAACTGGGCCAGGAGCAATGTCTCTTAAGGCCCCAGGTTACCCTCATCCATGGCCTGCTAGAGAATTGGTTGCTTAGGCTTTATTTGATATAGTGAACTTCTGGTATCTTTCCACAAATCTCCTTTTTGCTTAAATTAACCAAAGATGATTCTGTTTTTTTCTTCTGAAAGAAATTTGGTAATATTATTTCCTACCAAAAACCTTTTAAAAAAGGGGGGAGAGGTGAGTTTTGTACCTTGGTATTTGCATATGGTTTAGCCCCAAACCTCCAGATTCTCCAATCTTAAGAATGTCATCATAACATAAAATTTCGCTCAAAAAGGCCCCTGAGTTATGAGGCTGCGTCGGGATCTGTGTGCCTGGTGCTTAGCCAGCGGGATCCGTTCCTCAGCTAAGTGCTATCCTCCTCTATCTGGCAGTCTGGGATTCAAATCTGTGCATATACAAAATGAGCAAGAGGGCCTCCTTGAGAAAAGATAGTTCTTCAGATATCTGGAAGAAGAGCTGCCAGGTTCATTGAAACTGCACCCACGTGTACAGTTACGTGTGTTCCCCCCAGCAAGTTACGCTATTGCTTGTAGTGAGTACCTGAAAAGCAGCTTTGCCAATCGTACAGTGAGGCAGGCCATGGGGTTCCTACAGTTATCCCTGGAAAGGCCCCCTTCCGTGACAGCCGCCCTTCTAATCCATGACTGGGCACTCATTCAGCCCAGGACTGCTCTGGCCTTTTTGTCTCCAAAAGACGTCCTTTGAGGATCTGAAATTGAGGTTGGGTTTATGCTCTAGTTCATTCTGTTGTTAATAACAGAACACACCCATGTCTGGGTGATCTAAGAGAATAGAGGTTTACTTGCTCACAGTTTGGAGTTTCAAGATCCAGGGGCCACATATGGTGACGGTCTCCTGGCTGCCTCCCAACACGGCAGAGGGCAAGAGAATGTGTATCTGTGTCCGTGAGTCTCTCTGTTCCGGTCTTATTTCCTCTCCTTATTAACCCACCAGGAATCAGCCCATTCTGATAACCTTAATCCTGATTTCACAGAGGCCCTGCCTTTCAACATCATAGTTGCTAGCTTCCTTGCTCTTTTTTTTTTTTCTTAAACCAAAAATATTTTACTAAAGCATAAAATTTGAAGAAGTTTCTAGACGAGGCAAGTCATGCAAATGGTCACAAGCTTCTTTCAGAGGGGTCTACACTTGACAGCAGAGTCACCGTGTTATTAGTGAGGGCTGAGATGCTTGTTTGTTCCCATTTGGGTTTCTAGCTTGTCCGTAAGGCTCCTAAACAGACTTGGCTGGAGAGCATTCCCTAAAGAACCGGTTAGCTGCTTTTAACCAACGCAATTAGATCACCATAAAAAAGGAGAAAGGAGCCCATAAAATTGAAATAAAACCTCCTCTCCCCTCAACAAAATAAAAGAAAGAAAACACCCACACCTCTGCAGGTAACCCTGACAACTACCAGCGTTCATAGTCTTTACACTTAAACCATGATTGGGGAAATGAATAAAAGCAGTAAGGGGCCACTGCTTTTAAATGTTTGACAACAATCCAGATGATACTTCTAGCCTCTGCTCATGCTTTACAACAGTGAGTCAGGACAAGACATAGATTTGCTAATGTACGTTTAATCATCAAAGGACTGAAGATGCCTGGGCTTTTATTCTGTAATGTTTCTAAGACTGTGTCCATTAAATGCAAACAGAAAAGGAAGAAGTCTTGGCAGAGGGACCAGCAGTTGGCATAATGACTATGTCGCTGGACTCCCACGTAGTCTACTGCGGTTCGAGTCCCGACCCGGTGGCTTAAACTTACGCCGGGCACGTGTGCATGCATGCCCAAGATCCCAAGAGGAGAATGGAGGAGAAAGGATTGCAACATGGCCATTGCCCCAGGGGCTGATTTCTCACTTTCTGTCTCCCTGTTTCTCTCTGTCTTTCTGGCAAGTGCATGCGCCCTATAGCAAAAACCTCTCAAAAAAAAAAAGAAAAGAAAAGGAAAGGAAAGAAACAAAAAGAAGAAGTCTTGGCAGAACAGAAATGATGCACTCTCAATGATCAGATCAACTTAAATATTGTTCACGGCCCATCTTCTAGCTGTTCCTGTGGCTTGGGCTTTGTTGGTCTTCCACTGCTCTGCCGCATCATTTGCTAATGGATCATCTGGATTAGGAGCACCTCACAAACCCTGGACTGAGAGCAGAACTGTGTGATCTACAGTGCCCACTTATCTTTCAAAATATCTAAACATATTCTTCCCAACCTGTCTGAATTAGGATGATAAATTTTGGTCATGAAATGTACTTTAGGGGACCAGCAGTTGGTGTGGTGGTTAAGGCACTGGACATTTCCACATGGCTAACCACAGATCAAGTCCTGGACCTGGTGGCTTGCTTTCTCACCTTCTCTGCGTGTGTGTGTGTGTCTCTGATAAAATTAAGAACAAAATGAATGAATAAATAAAATTTTAAAAAGAAAAGAAAAAGAAACGTACTTTAGGGACTGCCATTGAGTATTCTTCCAGAAGGAATAGTTCAAGTGTAAAAGTCCCTTCTTCAAAGGAGGAATCTTGGGGTCCCACAATGACCACATGGAAATAACGGGAATACTCTCATCTGGTTCTGCTTTAATGTCAGGAGCCAGTTCTGCCAGCAAACTATCGGTTTCCTTGATGATCCTGTGGGCAGCCTGGCTATCTGATGAGATCCTGAGTTTGTCCTCTGATCCTGTCTCCCGCTTTCTCACTCTTAATCTTGTCAAAAACAAATCTCTGCACATGAAGCTTAGGGGGACGTTCAAACCATAAAAGTCCATTTATCTGCAGCAACTCTGAAGCTGGGCAGAATCCCTAAGTAAGAAATCTCTCCCACCTCCTTCCAACTGGGAGATTTCCCGCATGATGTCATCTAGGGCCGAGTAACTTTGTGGTAGAGCTAAAGCAGAGTCTCCATTAGGGCTGGTTCAGTTTTACTCTTCGTTGGCCATGGAGTACACCCTGCCCCCATGGCATGAACAGTCCCCTCCTGGCAGCTGCACTTGGCAAGCTCGTCCTCACTTGCAGGACTACTCAGCAGCAGTGGCATACGTTAGCTTATGACAGACACCATGCAGCCCTCCAGAAGTTCTTCCGAGCTTCCTAGAGTTTTCCTTCTTGCATGTCATAAGCTAGCGGTTATCACTGTCTGTGTTTCTCCCCCCTCTTGAGGTCCCTGGCACCTTACATTGGTCTCCCTAAGCTTCCTGCCTTTCCTTCCTCCCTTCCCCCAAAGCACAGAGTAGATAACAGGCCTGTGATCAGGCCAGGGGGAAGCAGTTAGGTATCTCCAGGCCTGGTCCCTGCTATGGATGCTCTTTCAAACAGGAGCCAGAGCAGCACAGAGCCTGAGTTCTATGGAGAAAAAGAGCTGAGTTCAAATTTAACCGCTGTGTTGCTCAGTTTAACCAGGGCCTTGGTTTTCTTGGCAACAAAGAGAATTATAATAGTCCCTACTTGAAGGGTGTTGAGAGGATAGGAGCTAACACCTGGAAAGCATTTGGAACATGTTTCTTGGAGGTGTTAAAATTTTTTTTAGGTTTATGATATATTGGTTTCCTTAGCTTGAGTAAGAACTTCAGTCAGGACCAGTAGATGGTGTAGTGGTTATGTCATTGGACTCCCAAGTAGTAGATCATGGTTTGAGTCCCGGATCCAGCGGGCTCATGCTGGGCTCATAAAACTTATGCTGGGCACACACCAGGTGTCTGTGTGTGTGTGTGTGTGTGTGTGTGTGTGTGTGTGTGCCCAAAATTCCAAGAGGAGAATTGAGGAGAAGGGATTGCGGCGTGGCCATCTCCCTCTGGGGGGTGATTTCTCACTTTCTGTCTCTCTGTCTCTCCAGCGAGCACACACACTCTATACCAAAAATCTCTACTAAAAAAAAAGGAAAGAACCTCAGTCAGATACTCTAGTAAGACCCAGCTATCTAAAATATGCCTCTTCCCTCAAGAATTTATAACTTACTTGGGCTAGCAGGAGGCGTGGTAGTTAAGGTGTGGACTTCCACATGGCCAACAGTGGCTCTAGTCTTGGACCTGATAGCTTGAAAATCATGCTAAGTGTGTGTGCGTGCATGCCCAAAATCCCGAGAGGAGAATGAAGGAAACAGGATTATAGCATGACTATCCCCCCCTCGGGGGTGATTTCTCACTTTCCTTCTTACTGTTTTTCTCTCTGTCTCCTTCCAGTGAGTGAATGCACCCTGTGGCAAAAACCTAAAAAAAGAAGAAAAGTTAAAAAGAATTTATAGCCTGTTTAGAGACACAGGAAGTGAATTCATCAGAAGATAACCAACAATACTAGATTTTTTTCTTTTTTTAGAATTATTTAATTTTATTCATCATCACCATTATTTCTCAATTTACTACAGGGCACGTGAGACAGAGAGAGAAAGAGAGAGAGTGAAGGAAAGTGAGAAAGCAAGCTGCCAGGTCCAGGACTTGAACCATGGTCAGTCAGTGGAAGTCCAGTGGGAAGCTGAAGCACAGCTAGGGAAGTAAGGGTTAAAAAACGATGTGACGGAGGGAGAGAACGCAACTTCAGAATCAAAAGACCTGGGTGTCAGGACAGTTAGAATGACTTGCTCAGCCAAGCTGCTGAAATCGCACAAGGCGACAAAAAAGCAACACTAAAATAAATAGAAAATCTCTTCCCCCGGGGCAGGGAGCTGGCGTCACAGCGGAGGGCCTGGGCAGGCGACGCCTCTGGGCTTTTCGTCTGAGCTGACTCAGATATTGCCTGAAACCTGGATTGTAGTAAGAGCTCCCTTTGGGGAAGTAAGCCACCTGCTCTCTGAAATAGCGGATGCCACAAAATTAGAGCAGAAACCGAAGCAGTAGGCCTGTTGCCGCGGCTCTTGGAGGACACGATTTCCCTAAAAAGAGCCATTAATTAGCAGAAGGAAGAAAACCACGATGTTAGGGGCTCTTTCCCCTTGTGTGGGGGGTTCCTCTATCTACTTTTTTAAAAAAGGCTATAGGGCGCGTGCGCTCGCCAGAGAGAGAGAGAGAGAGAGAGACATAGAGACAGGAAGCGAGAAATGACCCCCCAGGGGGAATGGTCACGCCGCAATCCCTTCTCCATTCTCCTCTCGGGATCTTGGCACGTAAGCACCCGCCTTTTAAGCCACCGGGTCCGGGATGCAAACCGCCGTCAACTACGTGGGAGTCCAGCGACATAGCCATTATGCTAACTGCTGGTTCCCAAGACCACCAGAACTCTTAACACCTGTGATTTTGGTCGCTAATGCACCGTAAGAGGAGCCAAATTCACTGTGTCTCTGTCTTTTGCTCGTAGTCTCTCAGGGACCCAGACTCTACATGTTGCTACATTCTCCCAGAGGAAACCCCAGCCTTCATTTTCCACATTTATCTCCACAAATTTCAGAATGAACATTTGTGGGACCAGCAGTTAGTGTAATGGCTATGTTGCTGGACTCCCATGTAGTCTACCACGGTTCGCGTCCTAGATCCGGTGGCTTAAAACTCACACCAGGTGTGTGTGGCATGCGTGCCCAAGATGTGCATGCCCAAGATCCCGAGAGGAGAATGGAGAAGGGATTGTGGCGTGGCCATCCCCACTGGGGGGTGATTTCTCGCTTTCTGTCTCTCTGTCTCTCTCTGTCTGTCTGGTGGGTGCACGCGCCCTATAGCAAAAACCTCTCCAAAAAAAAAAAAAAAAAAAAAGAATGAACATTTTGTCAAGTGTTGTCTTCTTTGTCTTTTTAAAATTGTTTATTTATTTTATGTCTGTTATGAGAGACCAACACAGAGACAGAGACAGCACCCCACCACAGTCCTGATGCCACAACCCATGACCGTCTCAGCCAGCCCCAGATCACAGACAGGTATGTGCCTGGCATACTCAGAGAGGTCTCCAGTTGTAAACCTGCAATCTTCTCATGTGGACCAGCCTCCCAGACTCTCACAATTTGCCTTCATACCACGGTCTACCTCCCTTCTAGTTGTGTGGTTGTTTTGGAGAACTTCCACTTTAAAAATTAAATATGTTTTTACCTAACAAAGGAATGTTTATCCTTGAACCTTTCTACACGGTTTAATAATTTTCAGCTACTGATTTGAACCTCTAAAATAATCTTTTTCCTGGTTTTCTTCTCTCCGGACTCTGTACCATCTCCACATCCCCATCTGCTAGTTTTGATTTCTGGCTGACCACCAGATATACTATAACTATGAATTCAACTGGTAGCATCTTGCCTTTAATACAGAAACACTGTGGAAATCAGCCTGACATGTATGTTCTTCTCTCCCACATGGCTATTAGGTTTTTTTTTATAAGAAAGGACACATCCTGTATTCAAAATGTGGAGCTAACTTGTGTTCTCCACAGGTGAGGGGATGCAAATCATTTAAATGGGTCACTCACTAGGAGTGTACTCAGTCTGATCAATGTCTCTCATCATTATCTGGTTTATTGTTCTTGTCATTCAGTTGGGGTTATTTGTTGAGTACTTATTGTCTAGGCCTTGTGCTAGACACTATGGTTATAAAATAAATGATGCAAGCACAGAATTTTAAATTTTATTCCTAAAACATGTATTAGTGATTTGACCTGCCTTTGGGACGTCACTGAAAAGATCTCTCTTGCCCTATTGTAAAGTGAGGGGCTTATATGAAGTGATTTCATAATTTTAAAATCTCTAAAATCAAAGGATGCAGGAGATTTGACCTTGTTTCTTTTTTTAAAAAATATTTTTAAAGTTAACTTATTTATTTATTTTAATTTGACAGAGAGGGACAGAGGGAGAATGAGAGAGGGAAAGTGAGAAAGCAAGCTATCAAGTCTGGAACTTGAACCATAGTCAGCCATGTGGGAGTCCAGTGCCCTTAACCACCACACCACCTGCCGGCCCGTTGACCTTGTTTCTTAATGTGCCTTTGAGCAGTGTTCAGTCTCTGGGCCTTAGTCTCCTCTATAAAATAAAGGGAAGATACTAGAACAGGTTTGCAAAGATGTCCCAGGAACTTTGCCAATAGATTTTCCTTAAGAAAAAAGGGTTCTGTGTTTAACGAGGTTTATGAAGTGCTACAATTACTAGGTTTCTTCACTCTGGTACTTCTCAGAAACTCTACAATGTCAATTAGGTTTCACACATCAAAGGGTGATAGCAGATGTTTCCCAAACTTATTTGATAGTAGAATCCTTTTCTCCAGAAGCATCTTTTGTAGTACTAATAATGTCTTTCAGAAAATATTTGTGAAATGTCTTACTAAATATGAAGTCCCTTTATTGCAGTGCTATTCTCTGTCCTTGGAAACACTTCAAGTTGTAAGTATCTGCTAGTTTATGGTCTAATATAGATGCGCTGTGTGCACAGTGCTGTTCCCCTCTTTTTCCTTCTAGTTATGTTTTTGATGCTCAGACTATAATCTTACCAACTCTGGGTACAGGGCCTATCAAAGCATTTTGTTAGCACTTGAGACAACAGTGTCCAAAACAGGTACGTGGTCTGTTTTGCAGAGAAACATTCCACAAAACATCACAGAAGGTGCTCTTCAGGGCAAAGGGACGAGATAAATGAACATGAGTAGTGGGGCAGATTTCCATGAAAACTTAAAAAAGAGATTTGACATTTGGATCACTACATAACATTGCCTTTTTCCTCACGGGCCTGTGGTTCTCAACCAAGACTGTTAAGACTCAAAGTAATGGAGCTGAGTAGCTCCATGCAAAAGTCTGTGTTCAACATCTGCTGTGCTGGAGGTCATTCATGTTCAATTGCATCCTATTGTCTTCATTTCATTGTCATTGCTTCAGCCGGGGATTAATCAACTATTTATGGGACGACAGGACTTGGAGTCAGGGAATCACAATGGGGTTACAGTCTGAGGCAATAGTAGGGGAAGCAAGTCACAGTTAAAGACTCCTGATTTGTCAGAGCTTGTTGATAATTTAATTAAACAAAAAAATATGCGAGAGTAATGTTGACTTATCTATACTTCAGAAAGAGAAAGAACAAACTCAGTCTTCTTGAAGAATCCAGAAATGATTCTAGATTGAATTTATTCTAAACTGGTTTCTTTGTCCTTTCATTCCTCTGGAAAGTGAGAAACAAGCTGAGATCATCAAATGAATGGTTTCTTCATAACTTGGATCATCATCAATAATGGAAATCATGCGTCTTACTGTCCCAGACACAAATGAAACATTCAAATAGTACTTTTTCAGCTTTATGAGCTGGGCCAAAATCTTTCAGTAGGAATTGTTTTTTAAAACCTCACAAATTACTGAGGACCAGCAGTTAGCGTAATGGCTATGTTGCTGGACTCCCACGTAGTTGACCGTGGTTTGAGTCCCGGACCCGGTGGCTTAAACTCACGTTGGGCTTGTGTGCGTGCGTGCCCAAGATCCCGAGAGGAGAATGGAGGAGAAGGGATTACGGCATGGCCATCCCCCCTGGGGGGTGATTTCTCGCTCCCTATCTCTCTGTCTTTCTCTGTCTTTCTGGCGAGCGCAAGCGCCCTATAGCAAAAACCGCTCAAAAAAAAAAAAACCTCATAAATTACTTAGGTGTTTGCATACACAGGCGCATAATGGTTAGTTTTATTAGAATTCCATGTCAATTAAGTGATTAGTCATCATCTCAGTGTATGTCCCACAAACATTTATGAACCTGTATCAGGGAAAATGAAGTATAAATACTGAAATAATTTAACTAAGTATCTGAACTTATGAAGTCCAATGATATAATTAGAATAATATACAGTTTTTAATATACCTACTAATATGCTTTACATGTGATAATTATTTCACAGAAAACCGTCAAATTATTTGCACCATAAAATTCCAGGTGGGGGGAACCAGCAGTCAGTGTAATGGCTGTGTCGCTGGACTCCTATGTAGTCGACCGCGGTTTGTGTCCCAGACCTGGTGGCTTAAAACTAACGCTGGGCACGTGTGCGTGCGTGCCCAAGATCCCAAGAGGAGAATGGAGAAGGGATTGCGGCGTGACCATCCCCCCTGGGGGATGATTTCTCGCTTTCTGTCTCTATGTCTCTCTCTGTCTGGCTGGCGAGCGCACGCGCCCTATAGCAAAAACCTCTCCAAAAAAAAAAAAAAAATCCAGGTCTGTAGTAATAGTTTGAGTCGCTAATTTGTCTGAATTTATTTAATGACTAAAATAAAAATGTTAATCTATTCAATCAGCATTATGCAAAACTCATCACTTTTCCACAAAGCTAACTTTCTTTATTCCAAGCTTCTGATATATCTCATAATGTCAAAACCAACATTTTCACGCAAATGGCTGCTAGTAACTTTAAAACTTTGGTTAAGTTTTTTGATATGTGTGCTGCTCCCTGATATGGGAAAAGATGGACCAAACTCCCCTCCCCCACCCCACCTTGTTATTCTTTTGGGGGCGGGCTGGCCACTCCAGATGGTGTGTTAGTTAGTGATGGACATAGCTTTGGAGAAACTTCAACAGACGAAGGCTGTAATGTCAGGATTTTGCTGTGCGTCGCCCCCACCCCCCCGCAGTTCCCAGGGTAGGAAGGTGCTGAGATGGAAGCCGAGGGACGCCCGCCCACCTGCCACCACCTGTTCCTTCCTTCAGTCCTCCACTATAAATTCCCCCTCTCAAAGATTCATCCCGCACTCTGCGACCGCTACTGCGAAGAAGCGCTCCTTCCCTATCTGAGCGTCGGGGAAGATTTCATCTTCCTGAGAAGGAACCTGGTGCTTCCTCAGAGGACTTTTTCAAAGGCCTTCCCTGAACACGTCAACTCTGCTGCAAGAAGGTTTCTTTCTCTCGTTCAACTTTACGCTGGGAAAATGCCTTTCTCTTGAGCGTCTCCTTTTCCCCTAACTTTGGGCCAGGGAAGAGACATCCACCTGGTTATCCAGGACAGAGGCCAAGTCCCCACCGCCCCCTGTAAACTCTGACAGCACGTGAGTTGCTTTGTTTACGACTTATTTGCTAAGAAGAGCCACAGTGGGAAGCAGCTCGGTAGACAAGCCCCTGCGCAGGTCCTGAGCGGGCGGGGGAGCGCCCTCCTGCTGGCCCGGGATGAAGTCCTGCAAGCCCGGCGGCCCGGCCGGGCACGTGCGCCGGGGCCGGGCGGCTGGAGAGCGCGGCGCGCAGGCGCCTGGCGGCCAACGCGCGCGAGCGCCGCCGCATGCAGGGGCTCAACACCGCCTTCGACCGCCTGCGCAGGGTGGTGCCCCAGTGGGGCCAGGATAAAAAGCTGTCCAAGTACGAGACCCTGCAGATGGCGCTGAGCTACATCATGGCCCTGACCCGCATCCTGGCCGAGGCCGAGCGATTCGGCTCAGAGCGGGACTGGGTTAATCTCCACTGTGAGCACTTCGGCCGAGACCACTACCTCCCGTTCACCGGTGCGAAGCTGCCTGGCGAGGGCGAGCCCTACGGCCAGAGGCTCTTCGGCTTCCAGCCCGAGCCCTTCCAGATGGCCAGTTAGGGCGCCCAGCGATTCTCCCCTAAGCAGCTTCAGGGGATCTTGGGGGCCTAGGAGTGTAAGGATGCGTTCGTCGAGTAAAATTAGTGAACTTTCACGTTACTTTTATCTGCATCGTCAGACCTAAGGATGTAACAACTTTATTGCCTTTCTTCCCACCTTCTCTGTATTTTGTAGATTTTATTAATGGATCTTGTTCAGATTGCTGTGCCCTGATAGTGCCCATCTCCTTTCCCCTTTCTCTGGACTACTTGGAAGGAAAACAATCTTTTAAAAAATAGGATTAGGCTATACTGTAGTTTCAGTCCGCAGAAAAATCACTTTCTCAAACTTTGTAAGTTTGTCCTATCCGGGTGAAGTCAGTATCCACCACTTGCGAATGCTCAAGGCAGAGCTACCTCCCTGCAGTGTAAATGCCTTTGTGCGTTGTGTGTGCATGCATGAAATAGACTTTTTTTCCCCTTTGTAGCGTTAATGGGTATGAAGGTCTGTATTTTTAAAAACTGTGTACACATTAAAATATAGATTTTGTAAAATAGAAATTAAATTGTGGGTTTGTTTTTCATTCCAAGTACCCTGCTAGTTTCCTGATGGCACTGGAGGTCCGTTTGGGGTGGTGATGAGTGCTTACCTGGATAAAGATGTGGAATGTTTAAATCATATCTCCCCGTAGCGAATGTGCTGTTTTGTAATATTTTGTCAAAAAGACAAGCTTATGAGGATACAAGTAATCTGAGTGTTCTCTGTCAAGTTGGAAATAAATGCTTTTCATGATTTTTTAAAAGCTGAAATAATAGTTTTTAAGTAACTAAATGGACAATTTCTCAGTCTTTCATTATCTATTAAATCAATTATTCTTTACAAGTACCGGTATATATTATTCCTATATGTATATAGTAATTTATGTTTTATATATATACACACTCACACATAGAAAAAACAAAGATACATTTCTAAAATTAACTCAGAGAAATAAAAAATGTTGCTTTGGGAAGAAGCAATTTCCTTTTCATCAGTACAAATTGGATAATAAGGGCTTTGCTATCATCAAGGCTAATCAGAATGGGAGCAGAGTAATATTCATGGCATTGGTTTCCATGGACAAAATGAGCCCTAATAAAGAGTGAATTGTTGGTCAACAGCACCACCTGCATTTGGGGGAATGTCTTCTTTAGGACTGACTAGGAAAAGCAAGACTCATGATAAGGAAAAGCATGATTACTTTTGGAACTATTAAGCTAAATTACCTATGCATTTAAGATTTGTCACAAGTCAACAAAAACATAAATGATATCCCCCCAACCCTTTTATTATGGATTCCAAAGCCTAACCTCAGACACACACTCCAATTAGCAACTTATCTCCATAGAAACTCCCTTACATTTTTTTATTTTCTTAGTGATTCCTAACTTTCAAAATCCATTTGATAATGGTTTGTAATGGGAGAGTGTCTTCCTCAGGTCATACACTTTAACTTAGAAAAATCACAACCATATCCTCAGAAACCTACTGGGAGACTGAAGTTGAATTTCCCTTTCCTTTGGATATCTATTAATAAGAAACCAACGAGGGCTCAGGACTTCGCTTCTTCATTGCAAATTAGAGAGTAAAATGTTTAAGCCTTTTGACTCCAGTAACTCCTGGAAGATGTTGCACAGTCCAGTGGACAAACAACACAACTCCAGAAGTGACGATGCTGGGACCCCTTCCCAGTCACAGTCCTCTCTGCAGTGTGCAAGTGGGTTAATGCCAAGATCGAAGGCATTTTTCTTACTCCCTATGTGGGTACCATAGTCTGCTTACTGAGACCTTATCAGAAGTTTCATGAGTAATCCTGGTAAATTTATAGAGTTTGAGAATGAAGAAAAGTTGCTTATCAGAGAAGTTCTCAAAAATCTAAGATCTGGGGCCAGCAGGTAATGTAGTGGTTGTGGTGCTAGATTCCCACATGGTCAACTGTGGTTCAAGTCCTGGACCCAGTGGCTTGAAATTCATCCCAGGCACAAGTGTGTGTGTACCCAAAATCCTGAGAGGAGAATGAAGGAGAAGGGATTGTGGTGTGGCCATCCTTCTGGAGGGTGACTTCTCATTTTCTCTCTCTGCCTCTCTTTGTGTCTCCAGAAAGTGCACAAGCCCTATGTAAAAAATCTCTCTAAATAAACAAAAAATATTTGTATATTAAGATTATTAGTTGGGACCAGCAGTTAGTGTAATAGCTATGTCGCTGAGCTCCCATGTAGTCGACTCCGGTTCGAGTTCTGGACCTGGTGGCTTAAACTCACACCAGGCACGTGTGCGTGCATGCCCAAGATCCTGAGAGGAGAATGGAGAAGGAATTGCCGCATGGCCATCCCCCCGGGGGGTGATTTCTCGCTTTCTGTCTCTTTCTCTGTCTTTCTGGCGAGCGCACGCGCCCTATAGCAAAAACCTCTCTTAAAAAAAAAAAAAAAAGATTATTAGTCATGGGGACCAGCAAGTGGAATGGTGGTTAAGGGCGCTGGACTTCCACATGGTCTACCATGGTTCAAGTCTCGGACCTAGCAGCTTTCTTGTTTTCCCTTTCTCTTCCTCTTGCTCTATTTTTCTCTGGTCAAATTAAAAATAAATACATACAGTTTAAATACAAGAATTCCTTAAAAAAACACATTAATTTATTTAAAAAAAGATTATTAGTCATGTTTTCAGGTAGGATGTCACATCTCTTTCTCTGGACTTTAAATACCTCATGAAGGGACCAGCAGTTAGCATAATGGCTATGTCACTGGACTCCCATGTAGTCGACCGCAGTTCAAATCCCAGACCCAGTGGCTTAAACTCACGCTGAGCATGTGTGCGTGTGTGCCCAAGATCCCAAGAGGAGAATGGAGGTGAAGTGATTGTGGCGTGGCCATCCCCTGGGGGGTGATTTCTCGCTTTCTGTCTCTCTGTCTCTTTCTGTCTTTCTGGCAAGTGCATGCACCCTATAGCAAAAACCTCTCAAAAAACCCAAAAAACAAAAACACACACCCACACACACACACACACACACACACAAAAACCTCGTTTAAAAGAACTATGTTTTTTATTATATCTCGATAGCTTCTATACTAGTACAGGACCTTGTACATAAAATAAACATACATTTCATTTTTGACTATTAATTTAACAGTACTTTCTTTTTAATTTTTTAAAGAATTATTTATTTACTTTTATTTATTTATTTAGATCAGAGGGAGACAGAGAGAGAAAGTAATCCACCAGAGCTGGGCATTGAACTGTGCTCAGCCATGTGGAAGTCCATCACCTTAACTGCTATACCACCTGCCAGCTCCTAACAGTACTTTCTTAATAAAACTGAATAATTTAATTAAAATAATGGAATTCTTTTTTTTTTGAGAGGTTTTTGCTCTAGGGAGTGTGGCGTATTCAGAAGTCAAGAGAGAGAAAAAGCAAGAAATCACCCCCAGGGAGGATGGCCACACTGCAATCCCTTCTCCTCCATTCTTTTCTCGGAATCTTGGGCATGCATTCACATGGGCCCGGCGTGAGTTTAAGCCACCAGGTCCAGGACTCAAATCGTGGTTGGCTACATGGGAGTCCAGTGACATAGTCATTACGCCAACTGCTGATCCCAATAATGCGATTCTAATTCCATAGTTTTCCTCTCCCAAAAGAATAGGAATCACTGAGTTAAATATTATGTCTTTAGTTGTGTTTCTGGAAGCAACTTAGCTTTTACCAAATTCCTAAGTTTTCCATATCACTCAATGTATTTTTAAAAATTATTATGTTATTGTTATTTAATTTGTTATAAGGCATGTGTGCTCACTGAGAGAGACAGAGAAAGTGAAAAGCAAGCCACCAGGGTTGGGACTTGAACCGTGGTCAGCCATGTGGGAATCCAGCACTTTCAATCACCACGCCACCTCCTGGCCCCTCAATTTACTTAAAAAAATTGTTGTTGTTGTTGTAGCATGCATGTGCTCACCAGAGACAGACAAGGACACAGAGAGAGAGACAAACAGAGAGAGAGGGAGTAAGAGAAAGCACCCCCTAAGGGGGATAGCCATACTGTAATGCCCTTTCCTCTTCTCCTCTCTGGCTTTTGGGTATACTTGTACGTGTGCCTGGACCATTTTTAAACTGCCAGGTTCAGGACTTGAACCATGCAGTCATCCATGAGGGATCCAACTGCCTTAACTCCCATGCCATCTGTTGGCTGTGAACTATTTTTTTCTTGGAAGATATTTGAAGGAAAAGTAAACGGGTGTCAGTGATCAACTCCAGTCTTTGAAAAACCTGCTCAACTTATGTTGAGCAATTCATTGTGGTTTCTGAAGCAGGAGTTCAGGTAAAGCAAGTGTAAATTCTTTTTGAAGTAAAAATTCAGCTATAATTATACATAGTAAACTTTAGATTACCAAGGAACCTAAACATTGTTACAGTATTTTATATTGTTCATCATTGAAATTCATTTTCCTTCTAGTTTGATAGAAGGACATATTGAAATTCAAAAATATCCCTGTACCTGAGTTTCTTTATTTCAACAAATCAACAAATATTAGGAATCACAGCACATATTCATTCCCAGGTTTGTGCAATACCATCCTATGGCTATGCTGAAAGATTAAACACGTGCTGATCAATACGCAGTCTTGAAGGGAGGATAGTCGAATCCTTCAACAGGGCAGTATTGGAGATGTGTGTTCTAAGAACTCCTAAGAGGGGAGATTAAAAATGATAGAAGAACTCTCCCAGGCCAGGTTTCAGTTTGACTACCTATGAGGGATCTTCAAAAAGTTATGGGCGAGACCAACAGACGGCATAATGGTTACATTGCTGGATTCCCACATAGTTGACTGTAGTTCAAATCCTGGGCCTAGCAATTTAAAACTCATGGTGGGCACATGTGTGTACATGTCCAAGATCCCAAGAGGAGAATGGAAGAGAAGGGATTGTGGTGTGGCCATCTTCCCTGTAGGGGTGATTTCTCACTTTCTGTCTCTCTCTTTCTGTCTGGTGAGCACACACACCCTATAGTAAAACATTGCTCTTAAAAAAAAAAAAAGTTTATGGGAAATGCATATTAGGGAGAAACTATATGTGGATTTTTAAAAAATTGCATAGAAAAACTTTATACTTTAATTCCATTTATTAATGAGCTTTTTGAATCCACTCATATTATATGTGGGTTCACCCTAGATGCCAGCTGGAGATTGAAATCTCAGACTACAAGGTCAGAGGTTTCGAAGAACCATATACAAATGAACAGGACCATCAGGATGGAAAGACCACCTAAGCCAGTGGTTCTCAACCCTGACTTCTCATTAGAATCACATCTAGGAAGTCTTGTGAAAGATACCCAAGCCTGGAGCCCCCACCCCAAGAACTGATTCAATTGCTGGGGGGTGAGGAGAGTGAATGTGAGCATAGGTATTTTTACATGTTTTCCAAGTGATTTGAATGAGCTGTCAAGGTTGAGAACCACTTA